CTGTAATTCAGGAAATCAAAACCTCCCTTGAAAATATCCAAAGCAGGGGTTGGCAGGTAGTGTGGTGGTTAAGGGCACTGGACTCCCACATGGCTGATTGAGGTTCAAGTCCCGGACCTCACAGTTTGCTTTCTCGCTTTCTCTCTCTCTCTCTCACTGTGCTGGTTCCCTGCCAGATGAAAGTAAGTAAATAAATAAAGTTACATAAAATAATTCTTAAAAAAAAAAAAGAAAAAATATCCAAAGCAGATTAGATCATGCAGAAGATCAAATTTCAGATGTAGAAGATAGAACTTCTGACCTAGAGAAATTCACCAAAAAGACTGAGAAAATAACTCCCAAAAATAAGAATAACATATGAATAATGCTACATATTATTTAATATACCGTTAAATGCCCAAACATCCAGGTCATCGATATCCCAGAATGTGAAGAAACTAATAAGGGTATTGATAATCTGATCCATTAAATCCTGGAAGAAAACGTCCCAAATCTAGAGAGGCACTCAAATATCCAGACCCAAGAAACACAAAGGACCCCACATAGATTCAACCCAAGATCTTCCCCAAGGCACATCACAGCCAGATTGACCAAAACCACAGACAGAGACAAGATACTAAGATTGGCACGAGAGAAATGTCAAGTTAATTTTTTTTTTTTTTGAAGAGGTTTTTTGCTATAGGGTGCATGCGGTCGCCAGACAGACAGAGAGAGACAGAGAGAGAAGGAAAGTGAGAAATCACCACCAGGGTGGATGACCATGCCACAATCCCTTTTCCTCTAGTCTCCTCTCAAGATGTGGGGCACAAATGCATACACACTCGGGGTGTTTTTCAAACTGGGTCTGAGACGCAAACCGCGGTCGACAACATGAGAGTCCAGCGACATAGCCATCACGCTAACTGCTGGTCCCTCAAGTTACTTTGAAAGGATATCACATCAGGATAACACCAGATCTTTTGATGGAAACAAGGCAAGCAAAGAAAAAATGGGAAAATATATTCAATTTCCCATTGAAATATAATTTTTTCACAATTGCAACCAAGAATACTATATCTGGCAAGATTATCCTTTATATGGGAAGCAAAGCTCAAAACATTCTCGGATAAACAAAACCTGAAAGAATTTACCAGCACCAGACCAGCTCTTCAAGAAATGCTGAAGAGTGGGATCAGCAGTTGGCATAATGGCTATGTCACTGGACTCCCATGTAGTTGACCGTGGTTCCAGTCCCAGACTTGGTGGCTTAAAACTCACGCCGGGCGCATGTGTGTGCGTGCCCAAGATCCCAAGAGGAGAACAGAGGAGAAGGGATTGCGGTGTGGCCATCCCCCCTGGGGGGTGATTTCTCGCTTTCTGTCTCTCTGTATCTCTCTGTCTGGCTGGCAGGCGCATGCGCCCTATAGCAAAAACCTCTCAAAAAAAAAAAAAAACGGGGCGAAGGGGGGGCTATACCAGGA